TTACCATAAAAAAACCGCATGGATGCGTGCGTTGGTGTGCATGCCTAATTAGCCATACAGCCAGCCATATAGCCTATAGCCATGCGTCGTTTCGGTGCACGAAGTAAGAGAGTAAATTACTCACGTGTGTGCCGGGCTTTAGCGTCGGCACTCGTTGGCGGCTACCGGTGTTTATCTGATGCGGTAACGTGGCTTTCCTCTCTCTCTCTCTCTCTCTCTCTCTCTCTCTCTCTCTGTTCGAGGCGGCGCTGTAGTTTAAATCCCAGGCGATTTAAAAAAAACACGCGACACCGGCGAATATTTTTGCGCGGTAGCGCGCGCGTGAAATATTAATCGTTGCAAAAACGAATTTGCTGCGTGGGACCATATATTTCAGATTAATCATGCCTCGTAGATAATTAATCAGCCGAGTTAAACGACGATCGGCGTATATTCTACCTGGTATTTGACTCGCCAATCTCTCCTCAGGCTCGCTCTCTTTCTGCACGGCCTTCTCAGTTGAGTAAGGATGTCTCAGATAAAGAGTGAAATAGTCGGACGGGCTTCAGTTGACGAGTAATGATGCATCACATAAAGAGTAAAATAGATGTGTGTGTTCCTAGTCTAACTATAAAGTCTACATGCATATTTTGATTCGCTTGGCAGGTGAGTTTAGCTAGCTGCCGGACGCGTAGAGGTCCACGCGTGAGCAACGGGAAGGATGACTGGACGAGACATCATGATTGAAGCTACACTGATGACGAGATGAACAAGTATTCCATACTCGGTGTCGTCGGAGAAGGTACGTTGCCGCGCTGTTGTTGTTGTTGTTGTTGTTGTTGTTGTTGTTGTTGTTGTTGCTTTTTTTGTTAGCACGAAATGGTTAGGTGGAGTGCTAGGTTTAGAACGTACGCGGTGTGTTTAAACCTACGTAATGTAGGATTCTTTTTCATGGAGGAATGGCGGTATTCACGCGTGTAGAAATCATGTACTTGTTCGATGAAATTTTGCTCATGTTTGTAGAAAATTGTGCATTTTTGTTGCAAACAGTGTATAATCAAGGCGTTGTTCAATACAATGCATGTGTTGGGGATATCGTCAAGAGTAAGATAATAAGACGTTCGTATGGTTCACTTCTGATATAAATAGTGTATGAGGCATTTTGCACAAGGGAGTGTACATAAAATGTTATTGAATACAGTTTGTACAAAACACAGTGTAAAAATACAGCGTACAAGCGTACAGTGTATAATCATTGTTATAGCGTACAAGATACTTTTTTGGAGTTTAGCGAAACATCTAAAACAGGCTAATGTCGTATATAGGCACTGCGTCTGTTTTGATTAGACATGCAGTGACAGCATGTCACGCAGACACGCAGTGTGTCATGGGTGAAGGTTTTTACGTTTTGTTTTTGTTAGTGTTTAGAGTGTTACGTTATTATATACGTGTGTTATTTTTAGTTAGTGTTTATACTTTTATCATAAATCACCTGACTGTGTGACAATATATGATCAGGAGTGTCATAATATACATATATGACACTCCTGATATATAATCATAATCGATAAGGCGATGGTAAAAAGTTTAGGTGTGAGGCTTGACGACGTTTATGCATGATGTACAGCTGAACAGCTCTAGCTCTGCCCAGGCCATAATAAACATATTGTTTGTTTGCCCTCACCCGACCGACCCGCCAAAAAAGGGCCGACTCAAAAAAATTTATTGATCTTTCTCATTATTTTTTTTTTACAAATTGTATCACTGTACATTATATAAATCTGTAGGCAATAGATTATATGTACCAAGCAAAAGAAACATTCAACATAAAAGGTATCTCCGCACAAGCACACCCGAGCATGTAGAGCCTTGTAAAAAGACCGCTTCAAAAACAAAAGCCTACCTATACTACCTACCCAAACTTTTCAGCCTGGGCCGGATGAGGGCAAACAACGATTTTTTTAATTGTGGCCTGAACAGCTCTGCCTGATGCCGATGTGCGGGCGTCCGCATGAGTAGATGTGCACGCTTGCAGGAAGGCAGCAATGGCATCGTAAAATTTAAAAGCAGCTAATATAAATCCAAAATAATAGCTCATATAAATCCACTAGATAGCTATAGTGTGAGTAGTACAAAGTAGTAGTACATAGAGTAGTAGAACTTATAGTTATAATGTCTGTTAACGCGTAGTTGGCGCTGTTTCTTTCATGCCGCCTTAGTATAGGCTTGATATGAGAGCTGTGAGTGATACACATGAGCGAGAGTGAGAGTGAGGCTGAAGGGGTCGTTGTCGTATCAGGTACTACAGATATGTACCAGAGGTACATATATATGTATACACAAAGTGTACCAGACTTGTACTACAGAAGTGTACCCTAACCCTAACCCTAACCCTAACCCTAACCCTAACCCTAGCCCTAACCCTAACCCTAACCCTAACCCTAACCCTAAACATACCTCATATAAAAATATAAGCATAATACTAAACAACCTAAAATTACCTCGGGTACATATATGTAGTACCTGATACGACAACGACCGTTCGTGCGAGAGTGAGAGTGAGCGTGCGATGTGTCTGTCTGTGAGTCGCTCATCTCATACTGCCGCACATGGAAATAATATAGGCGACTATAGTGATTATAGTAATATATAGTGTCTCTATATATTTCTATGCTGCCGCATCACAACCACACGTATGGCATCCATAGTAGCCATGCATGCGTTCTGCAGATAGACAGAGATGCTCACGTGACCAAACGTGATCCAACTTCCGTGAATTTTGTTTTGTTTCAGCTTTAGTTGTTTGTCAGTGTGTGCTAGGAGATGACTTTCACGTTGAATCTCATTTATCATCTCATTTTATAATGTGAAGTTTGTAAATATTATTAATAACGGGCCTGTGAGTGTCCCCCTACGTTTCTTATTTTTAGCTCATCTGACATAGTCAGATGCAGCTTGTAGAATCGCATAATCGTCCGTCCGTCCGTCCGTCCGTCCGTCCGTGCGTCCGTCCGTGCGTCCGTCAACAGTTGGGCACAAATCTAAACGGCTCGACGTACGGTCACGATATTCGGGATTAGGGTTAGGGTTAGGCACATTGGTTTTATTGGGACCCATGTTCTCTATCCTTGGGCCAATACTTCTATGAGTGTTAGTGTGAGTTGCATAGAGCAATGCGTTGTGTCCTAGAAATTGTATGATTTGACGCTATTCTGTTGTCTCTCGCTATGCCTAGAATAGTGTCACATCATACAAATTTATAAGTCACAATTTATTTGTCTACGAGTTGGGTAGTGCCAGTACTTCTATGAGTATGACTTCTCATGGGATCAGACTGCCTTTAGAACCCCAGTAGGTACATCATGACCATGCAGTGCCTACCATCACCTAAATCATATCAAAGTCGTCACCACATATCCAGGAAGATACCAGCTGGTTATCATAGTAATAATCATACGTTATTTAACTCGCTCATTATGCCAGATATTTACCCAGAGATCTATTTAAACCTTCTGATCACTAGACTTTCACGAATCCGAACCTTAACCTTACCATTCCCACAATTACGAGTAGACAAATTATTCAGAGTAATGGCTGTGTTGAAAGTTATGCAGTACCCATTCAGACAAGATTGATCTGTCTGATTAATTTAAATAAGTATAATCTGGTTAGGGTGGCCACTCCCTTTCCTTAGCTTTACACCATAAGTCACTAGACTATTCACTGAATCAGGCTTCTCTAATACATTCAAAAAAATGCAAGTATTTTCTCGACAAATATTTGACATTTTTTAAACATACAATAGAGTCTGATAGACAGATACAGTCCATCCATGTGTGATATTCTGAATGTGGCAAAGATGGAACTTCGTGAATGTTTAAGAGGCAGCTAGATTGGTGCCTAGAAGAAAGAGATATTTTATTAATGATTTACAAACACTATATATGTGCTTCTGGGCTTTATTTTTAAAACCATATTTCACTATAATAATCATACGCACATGTGTGAGTAGACACACATTGCTTATCAAAGCAATTACACGATTTTAAACTGAGTGAAATGATAATAAAGCTAATTTGTGTGGTGAATCATGCAGGACTGAAAATGTTTTTGTTGTTTTTTAAAAATGTCTTGAGAACCAGAAGTGGCCATTTTTATAATTTTTATTTAATTTGCATGAGTAGCATATTTTTATCGATATATGCAACATGCAGTGATGCAATGCTATCACTGTTATTTTCTGCATGTTATCGTTCTTTGGAAAGTGAAAATAACTTCATGTGAAACGACTTGTGTTTTTTTGTAAAAAAAAACTACGTTTTTTGTGGTACCCACGTGTGTGGGTATGTATATATTTGTATATATAGGCCAGGACCATACTCTATGAGTATGAAATTACTACGTAAATCATTAACATGTGCAGTGATCGATACACTGGCTACAGCTATATAATGACCATTCTTTTACAGGAATCGGAGACTTGGTTTGAATTTGCAGGGGGTGTACCTACAGTAGTGCAACTTTGCAACAAGTGCGCTGCATATGCGTGCACTCCTGCACTGAACTGTGATTGGCAAGCACAGCTGGGGAAAATAGACTTTGTAAATATTCGTCATTCATTATTCACAAGTACAGACAAATTCTGAATTGATGATTGCTCTTGATGGTCCCAAGAGAATACCTATCATTTTCAAAAGAGATTGGAGCCAGACGTATAGAGAAAATCTAAGATGTGCACTTGAGACTCTGCTTTGTCTTGGTTGAAAGTAGACATCAGTTGGGGGTTATCATGTAAAGAACATATGTAAAATAAATGAGGATGTTCCTTTAGCATGTGGTGTGTCTTGAAAAATAGGACACAATCAAAAACCACATATCCTGATTTACTGTAAACAGTACAAACTCACAAGAATTATGTCGTTAGGGGCAAATGAGGGCTTCATTATTCCATGAGAGTAAAATATAGATTTTTAAACTAGGATAGCAGGTTAGATGCAAAGTGTATGCACTCACACATTACCCAGTACGTCCATGTTTGGTACTACGCACGACTGAAATTTTACGTTTATAATCGTAGCAACAGACCTCAGATGAGCCCAGACGCTCTGCGGCTCTTGTTCAACTATGCTGTTGATGGTCTCTCCTACTTTCCTACCATTTTCACTGGTTGTTTGTGTGTGTATTTGCCTCACATTTTAACTACCATTTTCTTAAAGTTTTTAAGATTTGACCAGATAACATGCAAAGCGTCTCACTGTTGCATGGAAATCAGGCACATCTGGATTAGCACTCAAGCGACTGTTTGGTGAGTACGATGAGTGAGCATAGTATTAGTATAGCTCTGGTATAGTATAGTATCAAGAGCGTATAAAGAAGGCTCTTGATAGTATAGTATTGTAGCAGGGCTGCTACGTCATTTCAGCGCGTAAGCCCGGAGATATTTTAAGCCGGTGACATCACCGCGTTCAAGATAGCGGATTGCGTAGCAGTTAAAACTAGCGCGCAGTTCGAGATCTAGAGCGCGCCAAGTTAGAACATGACGGACTAGTCATTACGGACTAGTCATTACGGACTAGTCAAAGAGCTTATAATGATAAATTATGAATCATTATAAGCTCTTTGTTATAGTATAGTATTAATGAGGTTTCAACGATGATAAATGAGGGCCTGTCCGCTCGTTGAGTGCGAATTGTAGCAACTGGAATGGAATGTCCATAATCATAGTGTGGTCTCGAATTGTTTACATACGGTTGCGGTGCTTCTTTGGAATGACTAATTTCTTGACTTATTATTAACTTGCTA